TTCTCCACCAGTGGGGCTCTATGCCAATGCCAGAAACTTGAAACTTGATGGAGGTGTTCAAGCTCAGGAAGGTATGCCTTTACATGATGATGATGGATTTTGGCCGGTAAATTTGTTTGCAGGTTACAGCCAGATATCAAAACTGGCACCAAGTGGTTGGCAGTAGAAACTACCCAAGAGGCAGAATCCAGTCTGAACCAAAGAGATTATGGGGGTCAATCAAGTTGGCCTGGGCAGTTTTTCTCCAAACAGTCCAAAGGGTAAACGAGACCTTGTGATTGGAGAAATCAGGAGTTTTGAGGAACAACAGTGAACACCTCCTTGATGTTTCTCAGCCCAAACAACTGCGTGGACGACATGATGTGATATTGATTCAATGAAACTATTATGGGATACCCTGATTGCAGTGGGAGCCATTGGCAATATCATTCCTCCTGTGAGCTACCTATGATCTTCTACCAAATGTGACCAACCTCAAGCTGTAGGGGTACACTGACACTGATGCGTGCACTTTGTCTAAGTGATCGAGGCACTTTACGTTACGTGCTCTCTGCATGTCCACAATCATTGCAGATGTACACGTGGCATCATAACAAAGAGCTAGAAGTAGTCATGGATTTAATCAGTACACAATGTGAAGCAGCCAACAAACAGCCCATAATAGCCAGAGAACCTAAGATCCATTTTCAAAAAGGTGAAAGCCCTGTGTAGATGACCCAAATGACTCCCAACATGACATTAATGAGTGGAGTCTGTGATTGGAAGGTGTTAGTTGATCACTTGTGCAATTTTTGGTAGACTTCATTCAGACAGACACACACCTTGACATTGTAGCATGGTCTGATTCAAGAAGTGTGTCCTCTTAGTAGAATTAATGGTTCCATGGGAAGAGAACAGGGAGGAGGCGTATGAGCAAAAGAAAAACTGCTGCAATCCAATTGGGTAGAAAAGGCCAAGTCATACCTATTGAGACCAGGTGCTGAGGATTTCTTGGACAGTCAATCATTTCCTTCCTTTTGAAGGTGGGCATCATTGGCCAGTGTCTGAAGCATGCTTTGCATCTCCAGACCACAGCTCAACAGGCATTGAATTGCATCTGGTCAAGATCCAAAATTAGTTAGTTAAAACAACACAATGACTTCTGATGTGAAACACATCTGTTTACCTTCTATTCTACATCATCGATAATGATCTCTATGAGTGAGTTGTGTATTGGTTAACGATCAAAAGCAAACACTTTTAGCACAAACATCTTTCAGTTGCATAAAAGATTAGAGACTAACATGTCTACACAAAAAAAACAATACCCTGTGCAGTGGCAAAAGCTGCTTGTGGCACCAGGGGTGGCAATACTGCATTAGTCACCACAATTTTGTTACCTCCCCTTGTTGGCAGCTGATGAAGGCAGAGTATTGCACATGTTTTAAAGATTGTATGTAGAAAAAATAATAAAACATGGTAGATGATATGCTTTTGTGCATATGCATGTTTGTGTGGACATAATTACTAGAGATGGTGATATGTATTTTATGTTGTATTTTTTTTTTTTTTAAGTTTTATTTTGGAATGCAGTTTGATTTCTTTAATAAATTGTAGGATATTATATGGAAAGTGTTCTTTCATGTTGGTTGTTTGGTTGGTTGATTTTGATTAACAGCATATCAACACCTCTATGGGTTATTTAATGCCAAAATCTAAATATTTTGTACATAATTTTATACTTTCAGAGTAAATGTACTCCTTTTTTTTTTTTATATATATATATATATATATATATATATATATATATATATATATATATTTGTAGATCATAACATTGGTCAACACTAAATTTATTGTTGAAATTTTTGTTAGCTGATTTAGAACAATTTTAACATGTTGAATCCAAAAAATCACATTGGTTTTGCTCAATCAGGTCAACTTTTTGAGCAGTGGTCAAATGCTGTTATTTAGGTTTATGTTTACGTTGTCATGTCCATTAAAATATCTAAATATGTAACTGATGTGTCCTGAACAGGGATATATTTGTTCGAAGTAGCAAAATAGTTTTTGGATTACTGTAACCGAGTAGGACAGTCTAGCAGGTAACTGTAATGGACTGGTCCTCATCGTAGTGGTAGGCAATAGGCGAAGACTATAGGCATACCAATAGGTGTCATCCTCTACCTCCACATCAGTCTGTATTTATGACTGACACCAGCCATTCATATTACTGTGAGGGGGAACCCAGGTGTATGCATATTCATTACATCAGTAACATATTTCACACAATAAAACTAATTATTATGTTAATTATAAATTTATTAATTTTAACCAATCAGAAAAATTTTCAGCCAAAAATAGCTTCATAAACATTAAAAATTGCTTCCAAGATATTTATACACCAATATCATGCAATAAAGTGCTTACATCCCAAAACTCACTAATTATGCTTTACAATACAAAACTATAGAATACATAGTAGTAGTGGTGGTGTTGTAAAAGATGATGAAGAAATGGTTTTTGACAATGATGCTCCACATCCTTTTTACCAAAATGAATTAAATAATCTAGTTTGTGATCTCAGCTTGTCAAAGTCCTCTGGCAAATGTTGGCATCCAGATTGAAGGGTGGGGGACAGTGTTTGCATTCCTTTCTACTGCATCTGAGCAGCTTCTGCACAAAATTGAAGTACCACAATATGAACCCAGAAAATGGAGGCCGTTCATTGACAGCAGCAAGCAATCCCTGAAAAGTATTCTGCTGCACAATGGCAACCAGTTAATCAGCATGTGTGGTTTATTTGTGTTAATCTGAAGATGGAGAATTTTTTCTTGGGACATTAGTTCAGGTTCATCAAGTACTCATGCTTTCTGTGCATGTGGGATAATAGGGACACTGCTTAGCATTACACAAAAAAAGGACTGGCCTGTTCAGGAGGAATTAATGCCTTGCAGAGCAATGAATGTCATCAATAAGCCTCTGGTGGACAGAGACCAGATACTTTTCCTTCTGCTGCATGTCAAGCTTGGCTTGATCAAGCAGTTCACCAAAGCTCTGGACAAGGATGGTAACTGCTTCATTTACTTGTGCCAGGCTTTTCCAGTTTCGACAATGGAGAAGTTAAAAGCTGGCGTCTTTGATGGTCCTCAAATCCGTCAGCTCATCAGATATTCAGAGTTTGAAAACCCAATGTACAAAGTGGAATTGGAAGCATCGAAGGCTTTTGCTCTGAACTTTCTTGGCAACAACAAGGCCAGGAACTATGCAGAACTTGTCATCAATATGCTGCTTGCTTTCAAAAGCCTAGGATGCAACAAAATGCATTGTTTATTCTCAGATATGGATCAGTTTTCTGAGAATCTGGGATCAGTGAGTGATGAACAGGGAGAAAGATTCCATCAGGACATGAAAGAGATGGAGACCAGGTATCAGGGACACTGTGATGCAGTCATATTAGCTGATTACTGCTGTACTTTAAAGAGACACACCCTTTCTGCTGATCATTCTAAGGGTTCGGAATATACAGGATTTCAAACCCTGAATTTGGAACAATGATGATGTAACAAGCAATTTACATGTACTTACATTTATCAATTCAATTTATTGTTATCAATGTTTGTAACATTTGATTAATAGTGTAAAAAAGGATATTTTCCCTTAAAAAAACTTATTTTGTATGAGAAATATTAACAAAATTCAGTTGATAATGTAACAAAAATGCAATCAATTTAGTCAGGAGATTGAATTTTTAAAAACTCAACTTAGAACATGACCTGATCGAGAGAAACGGATTCAGTGGTGAAAAATTGTCATTTTCAGATTCAGTGGTGAAAAATTGTCATTTTCAGATTCAGTGGTGAAAAATTGTCATTTTCAGATTCAGTGGTGAAAATTGTCATTTTCAGATTCAGTGGTGAAAAATTGTCATTTTCAGATTCAGTGGTGAAAAATTGTCATTTTCAGATTCAGTGGTGAAAAATTGTCATTTTCAGATTCAGTGGTGAAAAATTGTCATTTTCAGATTCAGTGGTGAAAAATTGTCATTTTCAGATTCAGTGGTGAAAATTGTCATTTTCAGATTCAGTGGTGAAAAATTGTCATTTTCAGATTCAGTGGTGAAAAAAAAACTTAAAAAAAAAAAATCTTTTTTTGTTGTCCAGTGTAATTTAAGTATAAAAATGTACTGTTGATTTTTGTTTGGGGGCTCATTATTTGTCCATAGCTAGAACCCTAATAGGTACTATCACCCTGGGTCAGTGTGGACCTGAAAACAACAGTAATTAAGAGGTGGTTCCATGCTCCTCAAAACCTCCAATCTCTTGATCAGAGGCCTTGCTGATGGATGTAGTTTGTCATACCCAAAATGACATAGTTTTAGAAAAAATGGAAATAAAAATGACACTTATATGTAGCATCAGAAAGAGACAGTTGAAATTTCTAGGGCATATAATGAGGAAAGTGGGCTTAGAAAAGTTGACACTCACAGGACATACTAAAAGCAAGGACAGAAGAAATCAATACATACCCTACCTAATGAGCTTGTGTAAATGGTTGGCAGAACAGGGTTTAGGGAAAATAGCAAAAAGACAACATTTACAAAGGACAGGAAATTGTGGAATTGCAGGGAGGATGGAATTCTATACTACAAAACAAAAAAATTTTAAAAAAATGGAATTCAGGAAAATTTGAAATGGAAAATCAGACCGGCTGTTGACTCTCTACAAGAAGATTCATTCACCATTTGATAGCACTTGTTTTTAATCCTGATAGATGTTTAATCACCCTCCTCACAAAAAAAGCCTGATGGGGGAACTGATTTAGTTGTCAATGACCTGACCATCCAACACCTAGTACTGGGTAACATATGGTACCAATATCACTCATAAATGATTATAATGATTATCAACACAAAAACAATAGAATCAGCAAACAATTTCAATTCTAACCAAATCTTTGCACTTATAACCTTGCGAAAGATAAGAATTCTTGCTCTACTCTTGTCTAGGTTCAATGAGTCGATGCTCTCTCTCTCTCTCTCTCTCTCTCTCTTGTCTATGGCTTTCTTGATCTTTTATTATTCTAAGGTGTGGATATTGAACAGGTTTTTCTTTTCTTCTGTTTTCAGTTAAAAAAGCAATTTGGTGCCAGTAGCTTGCCACCATTTCCTCCCAAACGTCTACTGGCTTTGTCACAAGCACAACTGGATGAAAGACGAACAAATTTGGAACGTTATATACAGATGGGTAAGTAGTTTATTGGGTGATGAGTAGGATGAAGTGATGCACAACTTATTCAGGCAAAAGGTCAAAGATCATTAATGACTTAAAATGATGCTTGAAATTTGTGGTATCACTGACATTTGATTTTTATTTCATTGTCCAACTGATAACATAGTGACACATTTCTCTTTTCTTTTTTTTTTTTTTTTTTTTTTTTTTTTTTTTTTTTTTTTAAAGAAAAATTATTTCTTTTTGGGTGGGGTTGTTAAAGCTTCCTTTTTTTGTATTTTTGTTTTAAAGTTTCCTGTTTTTTGTTTTGTTTTTTTTTTTAATTTCCTGTTCTTTTTTGTTTGTTTTTCTATTTTTTTAAGTTTTTTTCTCTTGAAAATAAAACATTAATATTTTTTATCTGGACTTTTTTTTGAGATTTAATTGTGTTTGTGATTGTGTTAAAAGCTTATGTGTATATAACCACATGAATGTTGCCTTTTATCTAACTTCATTTGACTTGTTGATGCAAACAATGAATATTTGTTTTGCTAATGTGTGCTGGTTTGTATTGTATTATAAAGGGCTTAAAAGAATTACTTGAATTGAGTTTTAAATTTAAAAAACGGTGGGAGGGTAATTTTTTTTGTAATATCCAAACAATCACTTCATTATTTGTCTGAAACTGGAGATTTATTAAATAGATAGCTTTTGTTTTGTCAAAAAGGCTTTACCAGAAGTAAGAGAGCCTTGGATTGTGTTGCGCCTTGTTAGATAGTCAAAATTCCTGTCCCCCCTTCAATTTCTTCATTAAAACTTGCAATCACAATAATGACTAACTAAAACTGATTTAATTAAAATTTTGTGTTTGTATATGGACTCTCACATCAATTTCAGAATGATGCCCAGTAGATCATTTTAAAACTGAACAGCCAGATGACCCACACAAATAGTTTTGAAGACTCATGCAGAATCTGCAGACAGAGATGCACACAATATATATATTGTATCAAAAATACTTTCACAAATTTTGGGGGCTGGTTCCTGGCAAAGTAAAATGTCCATATAAGCATATGTCCAAAAGACCATCGTTGTACACAACTTATAACAAATGTTTAAAATGTCCTCCGCTTGCTTCTATACATGCATGCACCTGTCAGATTATTGACTGACGGAACCTTTCAAATATATGACATGGTGTCAAATGGTTTTGCAGGCCTTATGACACGTTGATGAAGCATCTCTGCATTATTAATGTCTGCTGTATAAACTAATTGTTTTAGGTGACCCCCACAGATAAAAATTCAAAGGATCGAGGTTGGAGAAATGTAAAGGCCATGGAACAAGTCCTCCCCGATCCATCTTTCATGGTAGATATCAGTCAGTGCATTGCAAACAATGTGACTAAAATGTGCTGGAGTACCATCACTCATGAACCACATGTCTTAGTATTAGCAGGGATACATCCTCTAGCAGGTCTGGAAGTGTGTTTGAAATAGTTCCTGCAGACAGCTCTTGTAAGACATGCTGGGAGAACATATGGACCTACCAGACAGTCACCTACAATTCCAGCCCACCCAATAATTGTAAACTGTTGCTGGTGTCTAGCATGCATTGTACCATAGGGACTCTGATCCACCCTCAAATGTCAGTTGAGTAAATTTGCTATTCCATCTCTTCAAAATGTTGCCTCATCCATAAGCAAAACTGAAAAGACAAACAGATCGGTAGTTTGTGTAATAAACCATTGACAAAAGTTCTCCCATGATGAGTGATCAGATGGCGAAAGACTCTGCACGCATTGCAAATGATATGGATACAGGAGCTGCTCTTGAAGTACCCTCCATGCAATACAATGAGATGTACTACATGTTACAGCCACTTGATATGTGCTGATACCTGGATTGTCTCTGACATCCTGTAGAATGTGTTCTTCAGGGTCAGGTGTACGAGTGAATCTCAATCTTCCTTGAACCATAGTTTGTGGTGCCACAGCAGCAAAGGTTGGATGGCTCAGCTGTGTTTAGTCTGGAAATGCAATTTGGTACAACCATTACAATTTACTTGGCCTTATGTAAAAATCATCTGTCTGCAGCATCCTGCCATTGTTAAACAAAACACTTCTAAGTTAACCCACTACTACACACATTAAACATTGAAGGCAGATGAGCCACAAATGTACACAAATGAAAAATGTAACCTAATCTACATGGCAAAACAGTGTCAGTAAATTTTCTTTAAACTTAATAACTTAAAATTGAAGGATTTGCAGACATATGTTTATATGAATTTTTGTAATTGTTTTGATGTGAGGAACCCACCCCAAAAGTTTGTAAAAGTATTTTTGATACACACATTTCTGTGTGTATAGGGGCCCCTGAGGTCAACACCAAGCAGCAACAGTCTGCTTCATTCTTGGATGCAAACTTCAGATGTCCTGAAGAGTGTGTTCAGACATGAAACAGACTTGCTGCTTGGTGCTGACCTCACTGTCCCCTTCTATATTTACATGTGCTCTATCTTTGATAGTGAGCACTTTTACTCACGAATATAAAATTACCTTAAAACTATATTTTTATCGTATATAAACCAACTACGAGATAAACTCTGCCCCCAAATTTGACCAATTCCAGTAAATTTTCGAAAGTGCTTAATGCCTAATCCATAGAAAAATATTGGTAAACATTATGTTAGAGATACAAAGCAGCCTGAACATCCAAGAAATGAAACTGTGGTAGATTGGTATATCTTTTTAAGATATTTACAGATGCGCGCACAAACACACACACACACACACACACACACACGTGTGCTGGAGCATTGTCTTCATAAGATCAAGTTTTCATTAGTTATCCTGAGCGTTCCCAATAGCCTTTCTTAACTGCTTCAGCAAGTTGGCATAATCCTCTCCATTGATGGTGTGGCCCTTTTGAAGATTGTCAAAAAACACAATACCTTTTGCATCCCTGAAAGTTAAGGAGTGGTGTTTTCACTGCATTGATTGTCTCTGGCTCAAATTGATGAACTCAACACTCATCCTGAGTTAGGAAGCGTTCAAGGAAACCAGGTGGATCTGCTTTGAACCATGTCAGATTTTCCTGTGATGTGATCACACTGGTGTGCTTCTGATCAGGTGTCTGAAGACGTGGCACCCACTGAGCAGAAACCTTCATCATGCCAAGCTCATTGTGCAGAATCTTACCAACTCTCTCACAGGATATGCTAATAGCAATGGCTGTTTGATTTATGGTCAATTACCTGTCATCGATCACTATGTGGTGAACATGACCACTTACAGGATATCCAAACCTTGTGATCATCTTCAAGACTCTCTCTTCCCCCTCCTAAATTCAGCTACCCACTTTTGCACTGTTGAAAAAGCTGGAGTATTATCCCTAATGTAGTAACCATGTCAGCATGAATGTCCTTGGAGACTAACACCTTTTTCTGTAAGTACTTGATAATAGCAGAATGCCAAATTTTGTCCATTTACAAGAGAAGTTGCTACTAGTTATTTTTAAGTCTTCTTTGCACAATCGGATGTCAGTTTATCTAAAAAGAAACAGAACAAGTTGGAAGTGTTGAAATTAATGCATGCAAGGTTTTATGGCTCAAGTGTCACGCCCTCGTAGTCACCCTATGAACTTTTCAGCCTACCCTCGTATTGTTTTCTCTCTGTCTTACTTTTTCTCTTATTCTTTCATACTCCCTGATGTCTTAAAGTTTAGAATTATAAACTGTGTTTCATTAAGACAGATCAAAGTCAGCTGTGTTATTGGATCATGTTATTTAAGCCATGGCAATTATGTGTGATAAATAATATCCCCCAAATGTCTGCTAAAGGTCCAGCGGCACACCTCCACTCGATGGTCAAAATTTTTGATGATGTCTCTACATAGTTGCTTCTTAATCTCACCAATATGCTTTATCTCATCCTTCAACTGTTGAATTGTTGTTGGCTTGTTGGCATAGACCTTACTTTTGAGATGACCCCAAAGGAACAAGTCTAAAAGCATCAAATCACACGATCGTGGTTGCCAATTGACTTCACTGTTTCGGGAGATGATGCAACCTGGGAACTTCTCATTGCATTTCTGTTTGCACGTCCGTTTTCATAATAGGCTTCGATAATTTTAACACGTTTGACTGTTAATCATTCCATGACTGAAATTGGCAAAGATATAATTTGTTAAATCTGAAAAAGAAAAAAATCATTACTCTTAAACTTAATTCACCTTTAAAATTGATCCAATTTATTGGAACACCCACATACACATACATATATATATATATATATATATATATATATATATATATATGTGTGTGTGTGTGAAGAAAAATATACTGAAAAAACAAAAATCCTAATATGCCATTATGCTGTTTTAATGTTTAATGTCAACGTCGGACGTTTCGGTCTAATAGACCATCTTCAGGACTTATTCATAAAACATAATTAACATAGACCATATTTAAAACGGAACGCTGATCTTATAAAAGATTTCAGTTATCTGTTTGGATTGTTATTGCTTTTATGTCCATCATCTTTTTCATGTTGAATTGTATATGGTCTATGTTAATTATGTTTTTATGAATATGTCCTGAAGATGGTCTATTAGACCAAACGTCCATGTTGACATTAAACATTAAAACAGCATAATCGCATATTAGTTTTTCAGTATATTTTTCAGTATATTTTCTTCATATATATATTTTTATATATATATATATATTTATATATATATATATATATATATATATATATATATAATGTGTGTATATTAGCTAATTTATGAAATATTATATTGCTACAAAACAAATGTTAAGCAGATAACTAGTCAAATTCTCAAATAGCCATCTCTTTAACATCTTTGTTTTGTAGCAATATAATGTTTTAGAAATCAGCTAATATACACACACACACACACATATATATATATATATATATATATATATATATATATATATATATATATAAATAAAAAGGCTGTTTTATTAAAACTGATCAAAGCCAGCAGTAAATAAATTGGTGTTATTGGTGAAAATTTCTTTATTTCTCTATTGGATCATCTTATTTAAGTCATGGCAATTATGTATGAAAAATGATGTCACCCAAATGTCCGCCAAATATGAAAGAAAAAAAAAATCATTAGACGCTTAAACTTAATTCACATTTAAAATTGGTCCAATTTATTGGAACCCCCTTTATAAGATTCAGGGGAAAATAAAGGAAAACATTCCATCAATCACACAACAAAAAAAAACTCCTAAAATATTTTCTGCAGGCTCTCACAGACAAGCATACCTATTTCATATTGTTGAGAAACTATTTGACAGTGTTTTTATTTTAATGTATTTATGTTGGAAAGAAATATAAATAATAGTTGGCCACTCATATTTGAGGATACCCGTCTACTTGGGCAGCTAGCCAATCCCTATTGCAGATGCTCGCTCAGGCACGTTTGTGTTTGTTCAACTCCCGCAGAGTCAATTTGTGGTTTATACTGCAACTATGCTGAGCAGACCTTAGTTACAGTTTCTGGGAGAGAGTGTGTTATTTAGTGTGATCAACAATTTGAACAAGACCAGCACTCGCAAACCCTCAGTCACAATGACTTGTGACTTTGTGCTCAAGTGTTCCATCTACCTGATTTCCCTCACAAGTCTTGGGTCAATCTGTGGTATGGTTTTGAGGCATTTTCCAAAGGTGCCGCACGTGAGGATCATCCCCTTCCAGACTGATAACATCAGGAATTTTCCTGACAAATCATCCATGGTGAGATTTGAACCCAGGTCTCATGGTCAGAAAGAAAATGTTCTAATCTCTCAGCTGCACACCCAGTATTTTTATTTTAAGGTATTTATGTTGTAAAGTTATATATAATAAATTAATTGATTTGCTTGAGGATGAAATGGAACTAATGTTTTTAATTTAATTACAAAATTAAATTCGGAGCTTTTAACTTCCATTTTTGAAACATGGTTAGAACTGTGTAGCGAGAAAAAAAAACCCTATTTTAAATCAATTAATTTATAATATTAATGCTCTGTAAATTTACATTGAGCACTATTTTGTAAAAATAAAAATATCTATAAGAACACCGGATTATATATCTTACTGTTCTTTCTTTTTTATATATATATATATATATATATATATATATATATATATATATATATATATATATGCAAGTGCGCACACACAGACTCTACCAACAATTCCTTTTTATATTCATTCTTTTCCTTTGTTAGCACTTATTTGCTGCTACTATAAGGAAGTAATTAAAAAAAACGTTTACTTACCTTGTGTGTATAATATATTTGTGGCAACCTAAGGATCATGCAATTGATCATTTCAATGAAACTAAGCCTGACTGAATATGCCCCCCCCATCCACTCTCTACATCTCCTGGTGTTTTGTTTTGTTTCTTTTGTTTTTTTGACGGGAATTTTATGAGTATTTTGGGGAAGTTAGAGGACATTGGCTGTGGTTTGACCTGGTGAGGGATGGGCTCCGCCAGATCTACTTGCCCAAGATGTGCTACACATAACTGAACACTTTTCTGGCTTTGAGCCCAGATCCGTGGATAGAACTGGTGCTTGGGTGTACAGTGACCCTTCAACCACACCCACTCATGGGACAGATGATGATACGGTGTTTACATTATGCAGAATCCAATAAATTGCCTCTAGGTGGAAAAGTGAGGAATTTCTGAATTAAATCTAAATTTTCGAAGTGTTCCCGGTAAATGGTAGTCAAACCAAATATTTAATAAATGCTTTGATAATAACAATAGTTGCTATTAACAAACTGAAATAGACTTTTCTTTCCTTTTTTTTGGGGGGGGGGTTCTCTTTGTCCCTTTCTCCATAAATTGAATCTAATCTCTCAACATGTTTTGTTTGCAGTTAGCCAGGATACTGGCATTGCAGCTTGTGACAATTTCAACAGTTTCCTTCTTAATGCCCAGCAGGTATGTATTCCTTACTTATTGACTCCAAAATTTAGGAAATCTATCATAATTAAATATCCCCATGATATAGAGTCTTTATGAAGCTTCCATTCATGAGACTGTTCATTTTCTTATCTATTATACCAGATAGAAAGCAAAATTTGGGGAATTTAAAAAGATTGACCAATCTGTTCATTGGCCAAATTAGTCAGCATTTCTCATGTCCCGCCTAATGTTTCTCAAAGCACTCCACCAAAAAATAAAACCGTCATTTTGTAAACATGTAATGGGGCCTCTCTTTTGTCTTTTCACCTGCTGGACACCTGACCCTCATTTAGAATTTTTTTTCTTCCCATCTCTGTCAATGTAAACAAAATCTGGGAGAGACTTGCTGAAAAAGGACAGAAAAAGAAAAAATGACACAAAAATCCTTTTTTTTTTTTTTTTTTTTTAATGACTAAGGAGTGCTTGGAGAATATGATACTCACAGGGCATATCCAGGGAAAAGGGAAAACCGTGAAACACAGACTCAATGAGCTTGTGTGGATTGATGGCAGAACGAGGTGGATAGGGTGAGCAAACAGACAAATATTATTAAAGATTACAATGGATAGGAGATAATCATGGTTGCCCACATCCTGAAGGACAGAACATTAAATAGTCAATTTTTGAGTCAGACCTTGTATTCTCTCAGCAGCTATGTAGGTGACATTATAGGGACTCCATCTATATAAGGCTGCAAGCAGAAATTTCCAATTTATAGTTTGTCACTTGTCATCAAAAGTTTTTAATTATTTATCTGTTATTTTTTTCTCTTTTGGTCAAGTGGGTGGCCATTTTTGAAGATCCCATTTCACAGACTTTACTGCTGACTATAAAAACGTCATACACTTCAGATTCTAATAACATAATTTAGGGTTCATTAACTCTGTGTGTTTTACTGATCATGTGAAACACTGGTTTCTATACGATCACTGACTGTAAGCAATGTTGACTTTGGTCAGTACCTAGAAGGGTGACCACTTGGGAATACCAAGAATTGTAAGCTTGGATGTGCAGGTGGTGTAGTGGATAATGGCTTGGAATTGTTAATTGGAGAGTCGAGTTTCAATTCCATTGGCTTTGTTATATTATATATGCACATGAATCTGCCTCTTCTCCCCTAGCTATGGGATAATTAGTAAGACTTGTATCACTAAAATCATTATTATCTCAAAAAAATTATTCAATGTAGAAATATTTTCTGGCTTTGAATAATCTGCAGTGTTGATTAGCTGTAAAAAAAACCGAAACAGTCACGTGGGAGACATCTGATGCCATGTTCCTTCTTTGAGAAAACTGTTTTTATTTGAAGTTCATAAACTTTTGGTTAGCACCTTGTGTGCATGTTTTTCTAAGATGTAAAGTCTGCTATAGGTCAATGTTTAAAACTGTCTTAAAAGACCTACAAAAAAAGGCCTGAGACTCACTCAATGTAGAGGGTTACAGAGTAAAAGGTACAGCTTATGCTGATATGTGTAGAAGATAACGGTTAACCCTAGACTTAACATTGTAATGATTGGGGAAGCATCCTCATGAAAGTTGGTTCCACAAAGCATTGGTTTGTGGCAAGAAGCTTCTTGAGTTGAACTTGCATCTCACCAATGGAATACAAAGGGAATGAGGGTGGTTTGCTGCAATGTGCCTGGCATAGCAGGTCTTAGCTGTGAAGGCTAGAACTGGGGGAACTAAGGAATATAGTTTGCCTGCATACTTTCCATTGACAAGAGCGATAGAGCAGCGATAAGGTTGCAACGTTTCATCTGTGAGAATGGGATTTCAGGATGGGAAATAATTTGTCACTCACAAGGACTCAGATGTTTTGAACTCTATCGAGAGTGTAAAGTGAAGATTAGGCAGCTCCTACCTATATATAGCCACATCACTCCTTTTTCAGCCTGATCTGCCTCTTGTGAAGGTAGAGGATAGCAGGAGAATTCAGGTACTTGCAGAAGAGGTACAGAGACCTCACTATATTTTCAGCGTCTTTATTGATGGATTGTATTGAGGTCTAGGTTGCGTTTAAGTCCCAACAGGCATTCAGGACATGTGGCCTTCCTGAGAAAACATCTGTTCATTGCAATTGGTAAAAAGTTCTGGGTCCGATTGATGATGGTGGAATATCACCAGTTTGGTTCCTGGTTTTACAAGTTCTTTGGCACTATTGCGAGTTTCACAATAAAAATGGTTTTCACATACTGGAACCCTTTTCAGACAAGAATTTTTAGTTATTATTCTAAAATAAAAACAAAAATCAAGTTGAAATTACTCAAAATCTAATTTCTATGAGGTAATGGTTAAAGTTAAAAAAAAAAAAAAACTGTCAAGTTGTTTCATATAAATTCCAATTTGTTTTGCTCATGTAAATTTTGTTCTTGTGTAATAAAATTCTTTTATCAACAAAACATATCAAAGCAGCTTTTCACAAATTTTCTTGCATATTTACCATTTCATTAGATTCTTATTTATCTTTACGCTCCCCCACCACATATACAAGATCCCGATTAAAAAGTATTGGGACTGTTGCTATGATAACAGACATAGAGAACACAGAGTGAAGCTGGTTGGCACAGATTGACCTTGAACTCTGTCACACATATGCACTAATGTTCTTGCTGACTTCCATTCTTTATAGCAATGCTTGGAAGGAAAGTGTGTACAGTGTGGTCATCTTCCCACACCACAGTGTTTCCATCAGTGACCATGGCTTGTCCAGCAGTTTTGGGCAAGGCACAATATTCCCCAGATCTGACAACCACCATATTCCCCGGATCTTGCCCCTTGTGACTTTTTCCTCTTCAAAAATCAAATCCGAATCAAAAGGTACAAGATGTTGAGGAAATTCAAGAGAACATAACAAGACAGCTGCTACCCCACCAAAAAAAGAAGTTCCTTGAATGTTTCCATCAGTGGAAATGACTCTTGGATAAAATGTGTGGCAGAAGGGGACTACTTTGAAGGAGATTATATGCTGAATTGATATGTATTGTAGTTTTCTTTTAATTGCACCATTCCCAATACTTTTAGATCGAATCTTGTATATCTATAAACTTCTTAATATGCTTCTATTGTATCTTCTATATCAATCTTTCCTGTTCTTTTTGGTATCGTCATTATGTAATAAAGAGATCCCTAATTTTGTTTGTGTCTTACATTTATTTATTTCAATATCTGGTCATGCTGCCCCTGTTTCCTCTCTGACTCAGTATGTCTTATATATGAAGTTAAACACTTGTGTCTACAAAATAATTATTGTATAGAATAGATAAGAAAAATGACTCACCGAATTATTACCATTTGTGCAAGTTAAGTGTCGGTGACTGGTTCTGATAGTTAATTATGGTTCCCAGCTAGCTGGCTGATGAACACCATATGTTGTTAAAGAAAAAATTTCGCTAATTTGACTGACTTCTTTTTAAAGGCAGGAACAACTCAAAAGATAATTATAGACTGTTTCTGATATTTGAAAAAAACAATTTGCTTACATCATTAAAAAAATTAACTGCTTTTTGTTTTACTTTTTAAAATTATTTTTTAAAACTATTTTTTTTAGCTTTTGTTTCTTTCCTTTTCTTTTTCAATTTCTCTCTTTTTTTTCTTTTGAATTTCTCTCTTCTTTTCTTTTTCAACTTCTCTCCTCTTCTTTTATTCGACTTGTCTCCACTCTTTCGGCTTTTTATTCGACTTTGCAGTACAATCTAAGCTAAACGACATCTCCAAAACACAATACATCACAAAACCGGTCATATTGTATACTACTTTATGTCTACCTTGATCTATCTAACCACTAGTTAGTTTATAATACAAACACTAGGGACTGATATTTGAAAATGTATATATAACATGATGAGACCTATCTACCACTCTAGTACTGGACTTAAATTAATAAAGTCTAGGTACCTAAGAGAAAAGCTCATCTGAACAATTACTGTGAAAATATTTATAAAAATGGCACATGGAAGATACATTATGGTAGTTGGAGAGTGACTGAAGCTGAGATGTCGGTCACTTTGTTTGGCTGTAAGGTTTCATCATCTTACAGATTAAATGGCTGCAAGATATAACCGTAAGTTCTATACTAACAGTTTCTTCTATTGTACTTCTCACTTGTGGAATTCTCTCTTCCAGCATTTTACTTCCCAGTTAAGTTTCATCTTCAAAAATTTAAATGCAATGTCAATCGTTATCCTCTTGATTCCTCTTCCTTTATTGTTCTCACTTCTTGCCTGTGGAACTCTGTTCCGGCTTCATGCTTTCCAGCCAACAAAAATTTAAATGCAATATTGTCATCTTCTGTCTTCTTAATTTCTGTTCTTTTATTGCTCTTTCTCCTTAATTTTCTTGTATTCTCTCACACTCAGTAACCCCTTGCATCTCAGCTGCTTTATTGCCTTGCTTGAGGTGAAAGGATTGAGATATATATATATATTAACAGCAGGCAATGTGAGTTTTGTAAAGATGTTTAAGACTGCCCACAGCAGTGGAAGTGTTTAAAAATTATTTGCAAAAACTGCTTTTAATGGATATAAAAATTTTGAAAATATTGAAGTTTATCTCAGAAAATTTTTGTTTTAACTTTTAAAAATGCAATTGCCTCAAGAATTCTACTTTTTCAATCAGTAAAATAAAAAAATATTCAAAGAAAGTGAAAATTTAAACGGAATAAAAAAAAAAATAATCCAAGATTTTGTTATGGTTACACGAAATATGTTGATTTATTGATATAGAATAACGCTTCCTGCTGTCATAACAACTGAATATTGGATGACAAAGATGGTGTATTGTAGTACCTTCCAGGTTTAGTAGTTTTGCCTTACCACTCAAGTGGGTTTGAATGCCCCAGACACACTGCTATCAATAAACAAACTTTAGAGATAGTGATGTGATTGTCTCATTCCAGGGGACAGTGCACCCTCACCCATACAGAGCTGTATGGCAACTGCAAAGTTAAAAAGATTCTGACTGATCTAAAGAAATTAAAA